CCATGTCTCACTCAAAGCAAAGTTTTGTCACATCTTGGGAGTAGCCGGGGACACGTAGGGCCCAGAGAGAACAGCAGACCCTGTGAGGGCACCCGGGGTGGCGGTTTTCCTCACTCGTTGCCCAAGGCACTCGCCTTCAACACCTACGCCCACGGCAACGCACGGTTTGAACTCACTGCTCAAGAAAGTAACAAGTGGTCTCGTGTCACTGTCTTTGAGGACGGCCTACGAATGACCGAGGTAGCCTTCATGACCGCCGAGGAGTCTGCTGGGGTTATCTGTTCAATCCCCGCTCACCCTTGATGTCCCCGGCTTCAGTGGCTCTGTCACATGCTGACGTCCTCCTCCTGTGTGCTCATGGCTCTAGACTCCCAACCGCTGGGTTTCCATCAAAGGCCTCGTCTCTTGCTAGGAGGACAGACGCGCCGCCAGGCGTTGGTAGTGAGCTAGCCGTGTCTGGTGTCCGTCTGTCCCTTGATTTCTCTCTCGCGCTGTGGGAAAGTAGACGGTGGGAAACCACCACCCCAGTTCAGGGTCGAAAACTCTAAGACGCCTTTTGCTTTTCAGACTCCTAGGCCGCCTTGGTGCATGGTCACGGAGCTATATGTGCTGCGGACCTACACATGCGTGGTGGCACTCCTTATGCTACAGGGATGAGCAGGACAGACGGGCGTGGCACCACCTGGGGGAAGAAGGGTGACGTGGGTATCAGAGACGGAGGAGGGACAGCTACGCCTCCTACAGGGTGCGGTCAGGGAAAGACTTAGTGTTTTCATAAAATAGCACAGATGCATTAAAATACAAAAAAAAAAAAAGATGCAGAAAAATACAATAAATAAAACCAAGGACCTCCCAAGCCTCCTTCCTTCAAACCCTTCGTTCAAGCTTTTGTTTCCATGTGGAGCTTCTAGAAGGGGAGGTGGATAGGAATGCTTTTGTAAAACGGGATGCTTTTGAAAGTAAAAGTTATTAAAGGTAATTTTACTTGATACAAACAAAAGAAAAGGAAACAAGTAAAACCAAAGGAATCTGAACCTTAATTATTATGTCATCACCAGTGGAATTAGATCAGAAAAGATCACTCCAAATTTAACAAGAGAGCAGGAAAAACATTGTGATTGGAGTCATGTATTTTTTCCAAATCTATGTGTTTTACTATAAGCACCATCGACAATGGCATTCTTCTCGGATAAAATACTGAAATTAATCGAACATAAATGTGTCTGTCATTGCGTCAGAAGACAGGTGTGGTCTGTGACGTCTGTGGCCAACTTTTCCACTCATGTCCTCTCCAAATCTACACCCTGCGGAGTCAGTGCCGTGAGTTTTCACAAATGCACAGTCATGTGTCAACCGAGATGTGGGAAGGGGGGTTCCACCATCCCCGCATATTCTCCGTACCCCCTTAGGCCCCTCCTTCTGCAACTTGGCCTTGGCAACCACCGATCTGCTCTCTGTACCTGCAACTCTGCCTTTTCCAGAAAATCCTATCATTCATACAGAAGATAGCACTTCAAGTTTGGCTTTTTTCCCTTAGTGTGATAATGCACTGGAGATTCATCCATGCTGTGGGTATCAGTAGTCCACGCCTTTTTATTGCTGAGTTCCTGGTGTAGATGTGCCACGGTTTGCTTATCCACTCACCGGTCGAAGGATGTTTGGGGTTGTTGCTCAGTTTTGGGCGATAGTGAATAAAGCTGCTCTAACAATTGCATACGGGGTTTGGTGTGGACATAGGCTTTTATTTCTCTTGGGTAAATACCTAGGATTGAGATGGCTGGGTTGTATGGTAAGTAGTTTGACCTTTATAAGAAACTGCCAAACTGTTTTTGCAAGTCACTCTAACACATTTTGCTTCCCTGCTGGCAGTGTAGGAGAGCTCCAGTTGCTCTGTGTCCTTGCCGGCACTTGCCATTGTCATTTTAAAAAATTTAGTCATTCTAATAAATACGGAGGTGTGATTCATTGTGGGTTTAATTTGCATTTCTCTGAGTATTGTATGTTTTTAAATGACATGCTTACATGTTAGATGAACATGTAATGTTCATGGAAGCAGTCCTTGTCATGAAAACATTAGCCTCTTCCCACTTCCTCTTATGTTGCATTCCTCGTCTCCATCATAATTTTTTAAATTATTATCTTTTTGAGATGGAGTCTTGCTCTGTTGCCCAGGCTGGAGTGCAGTGTTGCGATCACAGCTCACTGCAGCCTCAAACTCCTGGGCTCAAGTGAGCCTCCCACCTCAGCCTCATGAATAGCTGGGATTACAGGTGTGAGCCACTGCACCTCGTGCACACTTTTCCTTTTCTTTCCCTCCTTCTGTTGTGTTAGTTTCTTTGTTCTTTATCTCTCATAGTTGAAGTTTTCTCCAGATGTCTGGTGATCCCTGGCTTCTTCTGGGGAATGAGGCACCACAAGGCTCATTTGATGTTCCGAGTACTTTTGGGTGAGCGAATGTTGGCTGGTGGGCCCCACTTGGGGTAATGGGGCAGGGATCAGGGTTTGCCACTGGGAGATCCCAAAGGTCCATGTCTACAAGTCTCTTCTGTTGGGCGAGTTTCCCCAGAGAGGAACCCTCTGCTCTCCTGCCTCAGAGCACCAGCCCATTTGCCAGTGTTCTGGGGGTGAATGGGGAAAGGGCCTCTGTCTCCCACTGTTTAGTGTAAAGACTTGTCCTTAAGTCTAATGTTTTCATCCCAGTGTCTTATATGTCCCATTGTGGGGATTGATGCTCATCCTTGAGCCTCTGGCTTCCACATCTCCAGGGAGGAAATGTCCTTGGAGTGGGCAGCACCATTGCTGGCTGTGCAGGGTCAGGAAAGGGTCCCGGATTCTAAACGCTCATCACACTGAGGCTCAGCCATGTCTGTGTTCAGCATCTCTCCTACCCCAGCCTTCGGAGGTATCCTGGGTACCGCAGGGTTCTGCGGCTTGAATCAGTTTTCTCTTTTCAGACTTTTGACCCTGCAGGCACAGGTAGGGCTCAGCTCTCTTTTTCTGGGTCAGTGACCACTCATCCATTCACTTTATGTCTCCCAAATTTTGATGACATCTCTTTGCTGTCATCTCTTCTGTTATATTTGTTCTTGAAAGTTTATCCTTTCCAAATATTCCTTTAGTGCCATTTTTAAGGGATTTCAGGAGGAATGACGATATATACTGTGGTTGATCTATCATAGTTGGCCAAATGTCTAAAAAATGTACTCTTTATCTATGAAATCCAGTGACTTAATCAGGATATGTGTTGATGGTATGCATGCTATATAAAGTTTCCTAGTCTGCAGAATCAGTTTTCCTTTATATACAGGGAATTTTCTTATACTGCAATTTTGAGTACTTTTCCTGTATCATTTTTTGGTGCTGTACCAAGTTTTCTGGTGTAGGATCATCTTCAACTCTTCGATATATATTCACTTGTTTCTGTTTGCTTTCACGTCTTTGTCTTTCTTAATATCCATTAGCTGCCTATCCACAATTCCATTTTCAGCAGGGTCTATTCTGTTTTTGAGATTTCTAGTTTAATTTGCCAGTTCTGTAATGTTGTTTAATCTCAGTTTGTTTCCTTAGGTCTCTCTCTTTGTGTCGTTCTGTTGTTAAATCATCTCATATTTGAAACTTCGTTTTACCAAATTCATGTTCTTATTCTGTTGTTTTACAGCCGAGAGCACTTGTGTGAGATTGTCTTCCAGTTTGGGGGTCATATTCTCTTGTAGCCTGGATTCTTTGTCTTTAGGGGTTCATTTTTTCTTGGGTTTTGGTGGGAGTGTGTTTGCAGAGTTGCCATCTGTTTCTTACTTTTGCTTTGGCACTTGCATCTATTCATTTTGCTGTTCCATAGTGTGACTTTTGGACTCATTCTCAATGTATCTGAGACAGGTTTAACTGTAGTTTAAGGTCTGAGTATTTTGTGTTGTGAACATTTTCCCTTCAGTCTGGGGTTGTAGTGAGATGAGGGGTAGGAGAGTGGGAAACTCACTGGGGCAGTGCACAGTCTTTGGAAGAGAGATGTTCTCACTGCTGAGATTTTGTCAGTACATTTTGCTAGGGTTGCACTTCCTTGTGGAGATGGACAGCTTCTCTTTAGATTGTGGGATAGGCCGGGCGCAGTGGCTCACGCCTATAATCCTAGGACTCTGGGAGGCCGAGGCGGACAGATCGCTCAAGGTCAGGAGTTCAAAACCAGCCTGAGCAAGAGCGAGACCCCGTCTCTACTAAAAATAGAAACAAATTAATTGGCCAACTAAAAGTATATAGAAAAAATTAGCCGGGCATGGTGGTGCATGCCTGTAGTCCCAGCTATTCAGGGTGCTGAGGCAGGAGGATTTCTTGAGCCCAGGAGTTTGAGGTTGCTGTGAGCTAGGCTGATGCCATGGCTCTCTAGCCGGGACAACAGACCGAGACTCTGTTTAAAAAAAAAACAAAAAACAAAAAAAATTGAATGTGGGGTAGTCAATACATTCGTGTGTTGCCCCAGCCTTGTTGGGGAGGGTTGCAAGTGGAAAACCCCCTCCCAACATGCTGAAACGAATCATGGCGGTGTCGCTGTGAGTCCCGTGGGGCAGCCGATGGCTGGGCAGGTGCGATGGGGCAGTAGGTGAGGACCCCTGGCCTGGGGCATCTCTCATCTCCTCTGCAGTGCCCTGAGAACGACAAGCCGGGCTGGACAGGGGCAGCCCGGTCTGGAATCACCGGCAGCAGACAAGTGCCCCTGTGGCTGCCTTGGGAATTCGTGCCAGGACTAGAATCCTGCAGTTGAGGATCTGGAAGGTTCTGACCAGGTGGCTAAAGATTCTGACTCCATAATGAAGTCATGTTGCCAGGGACCATCTATTGATGTTTCTAGGGAGAGATAAGAAGGGACACATCAACTGAATATGATGATGTTCGTTTATTACATCCATGATGTCTTTCAGGGCCTGAGAAACACTCTCTTTTGTCTAATTAGTCATTGTGGCCATGTCTCCATGGAGACCATTATGTTTGTACTCACAAAAGACACGTGGGCATCCATTAAAGGGACACAGTTGCCAAATGTAAGCTGTGGGCCCAGGGTGAAGTGGCTTTTTACAACACAGCCATCAGGGCTGCTGCGAAAAATGTCAGAAAACAAGCAAATAGCTGTCCCTGTCCACAAAGACAGGCACTCTCTCTGGCGTCAGGCCCTGGGTTTAGGGGGAGTGTGAAATCCGGGAAAGCCGAGGGCTCACGCTCCTGGTGAAAGCTGCAAAGGGACGGGCTCATTCATTTTTTAAAATCATGTGCTGAAGATTAGTTGAACTCATTCATTAGTGAAGCAACCAGTAAGGTGTTAAAAACTGGCTCAGGGCAGAGTCTGGAGAGCAGACGTTAATATAGGGGCAGGAATGTGGAAACGAATTGGTTAATAGATACAAAATCGGCTTCTTCCAACAGGGGCGAGGAGGGTGGGGAGAAGATTCAGTCTTTTATTTAAAAAATGCTGAGAGCCAACAAGGGCTCCGTGGAGTGAGTGGGTGCCCTGATGGAGGGGTGGACAGGCTGGAGGGGCTCAAGTGAGGCCGTGGTCTCCAGGCCGGGGCTGTGCTGGGGGGCTGCTCAGCAGAGGGGCAGGAGGCTGCCAGGGGGGTGCAGTTGGATAGATCTTGTCCTGCATGTACTGAGTGTCCCCAGCTCCCTGAATAGGTCCCAAATAGGGTACGTACTGCAGACCTCGGGGCACGAGGGAATGGGAGGGAACCTCCCAGGAGGGCAGAGTTGGAACCAACCACCAAAGCCCAGGGTTACGGACACCAGCTCTGCCGTGGGCTGTGACACCAGGCGTTCTCAGGTGTCACATCGCCACGCATTTCTGCCCCAGGACCGAGAGCAGCAAAGGGCTTGTGTGTTTCTCTTGGCTTCTTTGTCTGATGGGTTTTAGGGCCAATAAGACCTCAGCTAGCTTGTTAGGTACTGACCGTCAGCACGAGCTACAGAAATACTCTAAAAGTGAGGCCCTCAGACCCCAAACCAGTCAAAAAGGGAAAAACCTCACTAGAGTGGAGCTTATCTAGAAACTTCTACCTGGACTTAAGAAGTAGATTTCCCCAAATCTCATTGTCTACAATCGCGTGCACCGTCGAGCCCTTGCTCATAGGCACCTTCTCTTGTTTTGCACACAATTCTAATAACCCCAATATTCTGAAGTTAAAAGTAAAGGAAAAGTGGTTGGCATGGCTGTTGGCAGGTACATTGGCACCCCCAGGAAGGGGCAGCTGCAGGCCTGACAGAGGGTTCAGGAAACGGAGAAATAGCAAAGCAGTTATCAAAGACTGGGCCTGGGTCATGCAGGGTCAGAGCACAGAGCTCCCTACTTGCCCCTGGCCCAGCATAGCTGTTGGCCATTCTTACACCTGGAGTCATCCAAGAAGGTGATTCCGGACAGCAGCAGGAACTTTGGGACCATAAAGTTCTGGGTTCGAGTCTCTGCTCACTGCGGGTCTCCAGGCAAATATCACTTACAATAACGCCTTCATCTTAGAGTACTGGGAGGATTAAATGATCTTACAGGGCACATAATATTAATCAATGCTCATGAAAAATAGCTGCTATGAAAAGAGCAGTGAGTGATAGTCGAGTACGTGCAACAACACGGGTGAACGTCAACCACGTTATGTGAGAGAAAGAAGACAGACGCAGAAGGACACATAGTGTTTGGTTTCGTTTATGGGTATCACAAAATCAGGCAAAACTGATCAGTGACACTAGAGGTCAGGCTATTGATTATGGGGTGCTAGTGACTCAAGGGGGTCTCTTGCCATTTTTGTTGTAAAATAAAATAGATACAGAAAAATCCCATAGGGATGTGAGGGAGTGAATGGGGACAGGGGAGATACCAGTCAGTGGATACACAGTTTCTGTTTGACAGGAAGAATAAATACGATCTCTTCACAGCAAGGTGACTATAGCTAATAATAATTATTGTTTATTTTGAAGTCTCTAAAAGACAGGACTTTAAGTGTTCCTATGACGAAGAAATGGTAAATATTTGAGGTGATGGATATGTCAATTACCCTTATATGATCATTCCACAGTGAATATATGACTCGAAACCTCCCACTGTACTGCATAAATATATGCAATTATTATTGCCAATTAAAAATTAAATAAAACTTAAAAAAAGGAAAATTACATAAAACAAGCATGCAGCAGCTGAGTGGGTTATTGCAAGGCTACCCCAGAAGCCGGTCCTGATCCCAGCCTTTCCCTCCCTCCACACGTTTTGTTTCTTGATCTGGGTGTTAGTTACCCAGGGGTGCTCATGAAAAGTCAGAGAGCTATATACCTAGGACACGCCCAATTCTGCATATGCATGTTAGGCTTCAATAAAAAATTTAGCTATTGTTATTGTTCTTAATATTATTATTAGATTAACTCCTTTGAGCCTCGAACTCTTCACCTGTACAATGAGGAAGATGATCACTTCTTTGCAGAACTGTTAGAAGATGAGGTATCCACAGCATACTCATTGGCCTATTCAGCAGGTATTTGCTGAGCGCCTACAGGCCCGGGAGCTGTCCTAGGTGCTGAAGTCAAACAGACTAAAATCATGGGATGGAGACATGGTAGGCCAGTGGTGGGGAACATTTTCATATTGGAAGTCTGCATTAATTTAGCTGTAATCAAATAACTATTCGAGAAACTTCAATTAGATACACTTCAAAATATACATTATTTTGTAAAAATCTAACGACTATGTACTTAATCATTTCAAAAAATGAGAACTATTTGTTAATTTTCAAGTTAACTGACATTTTAATGACTTTGTTGTGTCTGCTTTTTGTTAGAAAGCATTTGAATATTTGGTTGCAACATGGAGGTTCACAGTTTCAGCTGATCCTCTAGATGGGTGTCAGTCATTTGTGACCTTAAGAGCGTCTTGATTTGGTTTAGGTGGGAGAATGTAGATTCACAGCAATAAATGGTTGAAAAGCAAGGAAGCATCTTTCGGGCATGTTGCTGAAGGTGTGGCTATTCTACTGCATTTTTCCGTATTTCAGTTGGATCTTTCTTAACATCAATGACTTTAAAATGTCATCTACTGAGAGCTTGGTCAATCCCATCTATAGTTCTTTAGGTGCCTTGGTGATATCAACTGGGTGGGGCTAAAATGCTAATGTGAGTGTGATTTCATGATTCTCAAATCCAATGAACCTTTCATTGTATTCTCTAATTAATAGGTCTGTGACAGCTGCGTATTCATCAAACGATTCGCATCCTGCTCATCAGTGACCTTTGCCAACTGGGGAAAATGTTCATTGAAATTTCCTTTTGAAGAAGTAGTGTTTTGAAAAAAGATAGCTTTTGTTGAAATGATTGGATTTTTTTTGCCACATATCATATATAGACTTAGTTTTACCTTGCAAAGAAATATGTAAATTGTTTCGATTCGACTTGATATCACATGGAAATGCTGCATTCCTATAAAAATCTTTCAATAATTCACATTGCTGATTCTGTTCTTTCTAAAATTTAACTCTCTGTTCTCGCAGAGATAAAATTTTGGCTAACACCTGCCCCTGCACTAACCAATGCACTTTAGAATGATATGGCAAATCTACACTGAATACCTCATCGTTCAACTTTAGCATATTAGAAACTGAGGATGCTGTGTTGCATATGCGGGAATATAATTGACCATACTTACAACTTGTTGCAAAGTGTCACTTAAAATAGTAGTTTTAGCACAGAGATTTTGCTGATGCAAGATACAGTGAAAAGAAATGACAGCATCTGGATCTGTTAGTACCTTTTCTATCTGTGCAAAAGCCCTTCATGTTTTCCTGTCATGGAAGGTGCACCATCTATACATACACTCACTAAATTTACCAAATTCAGTGTCCAACTTCACGACATTTATCTTGAAAGTTGTTGAAGATATGCATTCCCCATGTTCTGTTCCCAAGAGTGCCCAAAGTGAGTAACTCTTCGTAGCAAAGAAAGTCTTCTATTATGACCAGAATGAATTGCAGTATCATAAAGCAAGCAATCTTTAGCAGAAACTAGATAATATTGCAATTCTCAATCCTCATTAAAAAAAAATCTCTTTTCTTCCTTCAGCATTCTCTTAGACTTCTTTGACATCATGGAATGTCAAGCAGACAGAATTAAAAAATATTGTCAAGGTGTGCAACCATTTACAAATTCTATTTCAAACAGAAACACAGCACATGCTGTCAAAAGCTGATAACAGACTGGTGTACTCAACCCCCATAAACTCTCGCCAACCAGTCCCATGCGGTAGTGGCGCCAGTCAGACAGGGGACATTAGAACTTAATCATGGTTATAGCAGCCGCCAATTTACCCCTTATGGCTTACTAATGTTCTAATTGTGCCAATCAATCTGGGAGGACTATTTCGTTGAAATGTATTTTATTTGTTGGTATTTTAAATATGTTCATTTTTAAAATAAAAATGTAAAGACAAACAAAATGTATTAATAAAAATAAAAGCATTTGTTCTGTAAAATTTGAATTCAGTCAAAGGCCGCACTAAAGGACTTAGAAGGCCACATGTAACTTTAAGGCCTCAGATTCCCCACACCTGGGTTAGGCATTCACTTAAACAGGGAACCATGAAATTCTGACAGCACCTTCCAGTTCAGAAAACAAAATCCTGGGGCTGGCGCGGAGGCTCACGCCTGTAATCCTAGCACTCTGGGAGGCCAAGGTGGGCGGATTGCTCGAGGTCAGGAGTTCGAAACCAGCCTGAGCAAGAGCGAGACCCTGTCTCTACTATAAATAGAAAGAAATTAATTGGCCAACTAATATATACATAGGAAAAAAATTAGCCGGACATGGTGGCACATGCCTGTAGTCCCAGCTACTCAGGAGGCTGAGGCAGAAGGATTGCTTGAGCCCAGAAGGTTGAGGTTGCTGTAAGCTAGGCTGATGCCATGGCACTCTAGCCTGGGCAACAGAGTGAGACTCTGTCTCAAAAAAAAAAAAAAAAATCCTGAAACATTTCTCCATCCCAAATGGTTAAGTTTGTTTAGTTGGTTTGGTTTTGATTTGGCTTCTTAAATAATTAGTGTCCCTTTTTATGAAATCTTGGTTAGAACAAAGTCAGAGCAGGGAAGGCTTGTGTATGCTACATGAAGAATGTCTGTTTTCTCTAGAATTTCCAGGTGCAGTCGAATTGTGAATTAGAGCCAAGCACCCTTCCTGAGCTGCAGTGCTGGGGGCGGAGGGATGGATAGCCCAGCAGAGAAATGCTTTCTCCCTCCTGCTTTGAGCAACTTGCATTTCTAGGCCCTGCACCCTGCAGGCAGGAAAGTGTTAAGAAAGAAATGTGCATTTCCACTGAACAAGAAAATCAACTTAGAAAAGAAATGTGTATTGGAAAATATCTATTTGCCTGCAAAATAATGTAAAAATAATGAGCTCCTATTCCCCTTTGATGTGCAGCGCACGCTTTTAAGGAAAGATTCTGCATTTCTGAGATACTGGGCCTGGCGTGTAATGAAGTGGTTGTTATGGCAACAACTTTCAAAAGCAAGTATTTTCTGAGAGATGTGCTCCACACAGCCAGCGTGAGAGAGGAAAACACGAAAACAGAGACAGGGAGATGAGCTAAACAGAAGGCATTAGATGCCAGGAGCCCGCTCTGGGTGCGAGGGGGAAGAAATGTGCCCCCTGCCCCCGCCACCCCGGCCTGGCTTTGCAAAGCTGCAGGGGGAGCCAGGCCCGGCCTTGGAGGGGCCCCGTGAGGAATGGGGAGGGGGCAGCAGCAGGGGTCGGGCTGAGACAGGGTCTCTCACCAGGAGAGGCAGATTGTGGAAGGAGGCAGTGCCCGAGCCTGGGGGCTCTGTCTGAGGTCCCTCTCTACGGCCCCCTCCTCCTGGTGGCATCCAGCCTTAGCCTTTGCCACTCTCGTCCTACCCCCTTTCATTCTGGAGCCCGGTTTATTTACTCTACCCTCTCATGTGCCTGGGGGTCCTGCCAAGCCAGGCACGGCACCAAGAGCCATTCGTTACCCACTTTTCTCTGCACAACAAACCCAAGTGCCTGGAACTGTGCCTGGCAAATGGCAGCTGTTCAGTTTCCATCTGTTGAGTGAATGGGTGATCCTTTTCTGGTAGCTACTACTATCGTCCCCATTTTACAGGTGAGGCAGCTGAGGCTCAGAGATGTTAGGTGACTTGCTCCAGCCCTGCAGCTGCGCTGCCCACACCCCTGCATGGCGCTGCCTCCCTGTACCCCCCCATCCCAGCCTCCCTGTCTTTGTCTCTGCTGGTACACCCTCTCCTGTCTTGTAAGCCTGGCCTAAAGGCCACTCCTTGACCATGATGTCATAAAAATGCTAATTCTAAATGAGACCCCTGGGTATGTCAGAGTCCAGGGACGGGGCCCTCACTACCTGCTAGGGAGTCCGGGCTGGGCAGACTCAGGGCCCTGGGCCGGGAGCGACCAGGAACAGAGTCACCTCCAGAAGGACCGTGTCTGTCTTGTTCACCTGGCACAGAGGAGGTGATTGGGATCCCTTGGCAGAGTGAAGGACACTTTGGAACCAGAGTTCTGGAAGATCCTGCTGGGTCGGTGGCCATGCTTCTGAGACCCTCGGGGCTGCCCCAGCCAGAGCTTCGCTGCCACTGAGCAACGTGCTTGAACTCAGCTCACATCTGACAGTGACGGCGAGGGGAGGAGCACGTGAGTGTGTCCACACGCATGTGCATGGCCTCACCGGAGGGGGTTTGCTCTAAAAGGGGGTCTCCATGCGTGTGCGCTTGGCGAGAGGGAGACAGAGGAGCGCAGGGAGTTTTGGAGACCTGGCTCTCAAGGGGCACGCGGCTAAGTACATGCACGTGCGTGTCAGGAGAACATAGCGTGTGTGTTTCTCGTGCAAGCGTGCGGTGTGCGTCAAGGTGTGTGCGTGCCGGGCCTCGATGCAGAGTGTGTGTGCATGTGAGAGACAGAGAGGGGCTAGCGAGGGAGCGTGTCGCGAGGAGAGGTTTCCTTGACTGTGCGTAAGGCCGTACCTGGGGACGTGGGGTTGGCTTCCCCGGCAGGCGGGGGTGCGTCCCAGCTGCCACCCTTGCCAGGTGGAGGGAGTCACTGAAGACGATGGGTTGTGTTTTCAGTGTCGCCTTGCGAGAGAGCTCCTGGCAGCAGTGCTGGCTGACCCGTGGGTCACAGAGACAGCTCTATGCCATCAGGCTGTCCTCATGATCATAAAATATAAGAGCAAGAGCCCCAAACAGCCTTGAAGTCACCTGGTTCTATCCCTTATGCTACCGCTGATGAAAAACAGAGAGGGGAAGCAGCCTTCCCCGGGTCACACAGCAAACTCCGGATAAAGCTGCGACTTGCACTCATATCCCCTCCGAAGGGCTCCCCGACCGTCTCCCACTACCTGCCGCCAGGTCCCTGAGAAGGAGGGAGGAGGTGAACCACAGTAATGATTAATAATATCAGGCACCAGTGTATCATAAAATTTCATTTCCAGTTTAATTAGAAGAACTTTAAAAAAAAAATAAAAGTCTTTGTTATGTCAATTAGTTGATTGACTATCATTGGTTTCTGGGGTAGGGAAACTTGATCTGCAGCGAATGAATTTGTTTATCAGGGAAAAGGAGCCAGGGGATGGAAAGGGAAATTCAATTAAGTGTCAGGCTGCTGAGTGACAGGCCGCATTTGATAGGACTTTTAGCTTAATTGCTTGTATTTCATTAAGAGATTTATTTATCAGGAGCATTTTTCATTTTAAAATCTCGGGCGGTTTCTGAGTGGCTCGAGGCGATCTTTCTGCATTGATTGGAGATGTTGAAGCGTGGACCTGAAGAATTGCCTGGGACCTCGGAGACAGTCTTTTCTGGGCAGAGATCCTGCTTTAGCCCCCTGGCTCCTGGGGCCGAGCGATCCTCGTCCCTCTAGTCCCCAACTTATCTCCAAAGTTTGGTAAGCGTGGCATCTCTCTGGGCAGAAAAGCCTGTGTATGTTTTATGGATTTTCAAAAGGGTATGAGTCCTGAAGAAAGTAACACTCAGCGAGGCTGAGCACCTTGTTTTGTTCTTCATTGGTGTTGTCTTTCTTTCCCGTAAAAACAGGTTTTAATTGTGTGTACGTTTGTAAAATTAGACGCGAAGGCAGAGCTAGAAACCACGTTAATATTACTGTGCATTAACAAAAATGACCTTCAAAATAAGTACCTTTGAGAATAAAATAATCCCTACAAGATTTAATTTAATTAGAGAAATGATTAGTATCAGGGTTTTCTGAGAATGTCAGATAAACTCAAAAAATGGATGCTTTCTAAATCAAATCGGTCCTG